TTGTGACGGAATTATTGGAGGTTTACAGAGCGCTTTGGAAACCTGCAGTGAAAATCCCTGGAAAGGCTGATGTGGTCCTGGCGATACAGCGATAATACCCCATGTTCTTGTTCTTAGTGTGTGTTCCAGAAATGTGTCAGCTGTGCATATAATTAGAGAGAGCATTATCTTTATTCCCTTTTTCTTTTCCTCATTAAGTAAATTTATTTGTGGTGCTGGGACATAGAAGTGGCCCCTCGTCTGTCTAGCCTGGTACTTACCGTCAGCCAGGACCAGGTCTTTGCTAGGGGGTGAAGAAGGGCCCATGATGAACAGTGACTCTGGTCCCTACACCATGCCCCACATCCCAGTAGTTAATCTGGTCTTCTGCCCACTGAGAAAATTTTTTCTTCACCCCAGACAGAAAGTGGTTGGCAGTGCTCTGAAGTCTCCCGTAAAACAGTAAAAATTATTCTTAGGTCTGTTGTTAAGAAATGCTCTGGGGCATTTCTCCTGCACTGATGTTACATGATGAAAGCATCGATGAACTTTTCTCTTTAGGCTCTTTAGTTTGAACAACCAGCTGACAAGAATAATTGATTTTAATGGGAACTAGGACTTTCACTTGGAAAACAAGCTGTATTCAGGGTATGTCAAAACCAAATGTATGTTATCACCTATTGCATTTCTTCTAGCTGCCTCCCTCTTCTTATTAGTAGGACACTTTTCCCAAATATCTAAGTCCTCATTATTCTAAATTTACAAGGCTGAGATTTTGTGAATTCTTCCAGTGAGCACGGAGAACATAATTTTATTTACAACAGCCTTCACGTACTGAGAAACTGCTGCGTCTGGGAAAGTGTGATTTAATATTTGACTATTCCTATTGTGATTATTATTGTTAAATCCAGTTCTTTGTTACACCCTTTAAGTGATGGCCAAATTGTGGATGGGGTGAACGTAAGATGTTGGAAAGGGAAACTTCTGCATCACCCAGTTAAACACAGAGAAACAGTAATTTCTAGGGCATGATTCACCTCACTTGAAGGTAGACGACTGAAGTAGCCGAGATGAATCACACGCCAGATGTGTCTCTTTCTCTTCACTGATTATAAAGGAGTCCAGATGACTGGCTCAGATGCTGTGTGGAAGACATCTAAAATTACAGGAGATAAGTCCCCTTCAAGGTCTTTGGCTGAGTATGTCTGACCACAATGCTAAGACACAGATTTGAAACCAAGAGACGTGAACTTTCTGGAGTGAAGAGCTCCTATATTGAATTCTCTCAGAAAATAATATTTTATCCTGACTTTTCTCTAGTTCATCATCTCTTGCTGCTGCAGATGTCAGGTTCTGTCTCTGTAACCCTGCCCTGAAAGAGTCAGACGGCTCCACAGATGCAGCAAGATGTCTTGCAAAATAAATTAAACTGGATCTTTTAATTTTAGGCTCTGACGTTCTCTCAATGGCCCGAGCACGTGCGATGGCTGGAACTCGAATTCTGCCATCCCGTTGCCGTCCTTTTTTCACAGGCTGAACTGTATTTCTATTTCGGAAGGCCAAGGCTTGCTTGCAGGCTTCCTGGCATGTGGATGGATCCCTTTCTTGGGCTAACGATACGGACCAGGGGCTGGAAAGGACTGGCTAAAGGGGCCTTTCTTCTGTCTACTGGCACTAGACAGAGAAAACCAAGAACTTACAGCCTTTCTCCTTGAGTATCAAGAAACACCTTGCAAAGCCACCTCAGCTCCTGATGTCCACTAAAAGCATCTTCCAGATCTCTGCGTTAACAGCAGAAAAAGGCCGAGCACCCCCCCAGCTTTTCTGGCCTTCTGCGAGTCCCTGGCAGCCCTTGCCGCCGGCCAAGCCGTGCTCCTTGGAGCTGGGACTTCGTGCCTCAGGCTCGGAAATGCACTTCTGCAAAGTAGGCTAGGAGGCTCTCAAACACGATCCCTCTGAAGTTTGGTTTCAGTGACGTTTCTGTGGCAGTTTGTGCCCAGACCTGCCTGTGTGTGAAGTGACAGCAAAGCCTATGTCAGCTGAAGCAGAAAAAGCAGCACCACGGCTTCTGCGTAATAGCTCCATTCCTGGTTCATCATCGGTGAAAAATGGGCTAAAATACCCAATGGCATTAACAAAAGGAATGAGTGTCAGGCCAACCTGATTTATTTTGTGACAAAAAACCTGATTTTCTAGACAAAGAGAATGTACTCTACCTTGTTTATTTAGATAAGCTAAATGCAAGATCACAATGAGCCACTGGTGGGAGGTAGCCATGGGAAAAAGGGGGAGATGTTATGTATTTCTGCAAGATTTCTGTGACACTGTAATAAATATTTCATGCCGTTTCACAAATCTCTGATAAGGTCTCTTTGGGAATAGTAATTACAGTTTTGGTCATCTATGTTCAAGAAAGATGCAGGCAAAATATCTAGGCGCCTGAAAGCGGTGGTGAAATGTTCAGGGGAAGGGAGAGCCGTCTGCCAAGACAAGGGTGAAAGAGCAGAGCTTGCTTAACCTGGGAAACCACAGGCTGGGGCAAGGAGTGGCAGTGTCCATAAATACGACAAAGGGAAACACTGGTCAAGGAGAAGAGCTCAGTCCTGGCAGAAGAAGAGATGACTTAACTGGTCTTGAATATATTAAGGGGGTTTCCTTCAGCTGTGAAGTCTTCATTCCTTCCAGATCTGTCTTGGGGTTCTTTGTGGCTTAAACTGATTCATATTTATGAGAGCATCTAGACACCTGATTTAGAGCGACGCGAGGTGTTGTGAGGAAGCACTGAAACGTATCTCTGCCTGGGTTGAGCATTCAGTTGTTGCACTGGAAACAGAAATCAATCTTTGTAACTTATTTTTCCAGATGTAGCTACCATACTTTGCTAAGTGAGGGCCCCGAGCTGGGCTGAACTGAGGGTCCTACACCATCTGGCTTCAGCTGCTGCTGGTTTGGATGGGATCCTCTGGTGCCTAGCTCCTTGCAGCTCTGTATCAAAAGCCCAAATGTGAGATAAACCCACACTAATACAGTAGATGCCCTCTGCAATAAGTTCAGCACATCGATTAGGTCCATTGCCTGAATCTTCACTTGAGAGCTTGTTATTAACCCGTTTTGTTTTCTGCCTGCTATCAGGTGATCTTGTGAGGCTCGTGTGTAGAAATCCCCTATATGGTACACAAAGAAGCCATGTTTCTTTTACAGCTGATTTTGAACTGGAAAGGGCGGTTTGTCAAAATGGAAGTAGGAAGAACATTGTTTTACTTTGTCTACTGCAGGGACAAGAGGTCCGCTGACTAGATACATCTTGGCTTTGAGGATGAAAGGCACTGAGTGTCAAGTTAGGCTCTCTTAGATCTTGCTGCTTTATGTACAACTGACTCTAATAATTGAAAAGCTGGAACTGCAGCTGTAATTGTCACACACCTAAGGAGCTTGATTTCTTAAAGGAAAGTCAGTTGAAGGAAAAAGGTAAATCAGGTCCTTTAATCTGTTGACTGAATTGCCTGTAGGGACTTGAATGCTCTTATACGTCTTTGCGGAGAACCCTGCAGCAGTGCTAGAAGGTTTACTGCAAGTTCTTACTGTGCAAGCGTTTTGGTAAGCCAAACTTATAAAAGAGCCGTTAAGAGCAGTCTAACCATTCCCAGTGCTCCTGCACTTACGCAACCGCTGCGACGGGTTATTGTCTTCATGCTTTGTATCGCTTGCCTGAATTGAAAGGATATCTGTGGCTGTAAAAGTCCTGCCATGTGGAAGGTCTGTAATGGTTGCAGCGCTGAGCTCTTTCTTTGTGAGCTGAAATTCTGATTTGGAGGCGAGCCCAAGCGCATATTCAGTGCGTCTCAGACAGCAGAATTAATGAACAAGGTTCAGGATGGCTGTGACAAGCTAATAAGCATATGGGTAAAGTCTATATTTGCTGTGGCAGTCTTACTGTTCAGTGTAGAATTCCTGCAGTGGACGAAACATAAACACAATTTATTATTCTGTTAAAAAATACAGGACTTGTCATTCTGAGGAGCAGCGGGTGTCCCAGGCATGGATGGATGGATTTGTCTTGGGGATGCACAAGCATCAGTGTTCAGATGCGTCCTTCGTTAAGCATTAAGCAGGAGTTTTATATATATAAACTAGGTGGTTCGCAATGAAAATGAGAACTGGTTAGGTCCTTGTTGTGGTGCTGGTCCAGCTCTAAGGCAACCATGTACTCCGCGTGGAGAGACGTTCAGTAGGTCCTGTCGGACACGAGTCTGGCCTCAGTCCGGTTTCTAGCGGGCAGGTATCTGCGCCCTGAAGGCTGGCACAGCGGCCAGGTTCTTGTGGGCAGAGCGAGGTTTGACTGTGCCGTGGAGCCGGGCTGTGCTCCGGGGCAGGCCTGAAACAGGTCAGCGGGGTGCCACGGTGCCCTTCTTGTCTGCTCTGTAGCTTGAAGATTTCAGAAGCAAGGGATGTCAGTACATCGCCAGCACGAAACAAACTCTCAGTTTAAAAAAAAAAGTATTCTTCTAAAAATGTTTGCAAACTTCACTTGGATTTGCATGGAAAGCCGCCTGAGTCTCAAGCTGACGTTTGATCCTTTAACCGAGCAAACTTGCTCTGAAACGAAAATTCCTTTGCAGGACACCATTGCTTGGTTTTGCCTTTTTTGGGAACTCTCAGCTATACATTATACTAACCGAATTGTACCTGAAAGCCATGTACCTTGATAGATGCGCATGCTCATAAATACGGCGTGGCGGTGGCAGGGGAGGTGTTGCTTTTCCCGGGGGCAGGGCCAGGACCTGAGAGGCGCTGGACATCCGCAGGCAGTGCTCGCTTGCGTGGCACGGTTAGGAGCAGAACGGCGGTCTCTAGCAATGGTCGCAGGCTGGTTTACATCACGCGAGGGTGAAATTGTTATGGATTGGAATGGAGGAAAATTGTTCTACTTTGGCTGCGCGCTTTTTTCTGTGCTGCTGCTGTGCATGTGCTTGCATCGGGGAACCGAGCTTTTATTGACTCCTGGTTTTCTGTTTTCAAAGCTGATCAGTGGTGGTTCTATTGTAAGTGCTGAGGCAGTATGGGATCACGTCACCATGGCCAACCGGGAGTTGGCGTTTAAAGCAGGAGACGTTATCAAGGTCCTGGATGCTTCCAACAAGGACTGGTGGTGGGGTCAGATCGATGATGAAGAAGGATGGTTTCCCGCCAGCTTCGTGAGGGTGAGTGACTTTCTTCTTTTTACCACTACAATGAATCACTGTCGATGCTGCTCAGAACGGTCGATGAACTGAACTGGTTACTGTGTTTGTTATCATTGATGCTTATTTCCAGTGTGTCTGTTTTCTGTCCAAAAAAAAGGGGAGCAAAGAAGATTTCAAAAGAAATGAGAGTGGGGTAGAGGGAGGCTGGAATAGGTATTGGCTCTGCTGTTTATGCTCTTGGGATATGGAGTGGCCTTTGCTGTGTGTCTCAACATGTTGTAGCCTCTCTCCTTAACCAGTTCTTTGGAAAAACAGCTAAGTATTGTGCCGGGCTATGAGTAGATGATTTGGTGGGGCCTAAAAGTTCACGCTGGCTACAAGCGACCTGCATTCGGAAGA